GTCCCTTCCCTGCACAGCATAGCCCATAGCTTCTCTAAGTTACTCAAGCCCAGTCATCATGACAAGGCAGCAATCCATGAAGGGATGTGACACCATACTTTATTTTAATTCTTAGAATTGAGTTTCATGAAGGGATGTGACACCATACTTTATTTTAATTCTTAGAAGAACATTGAGTTTCCCAAGGCTATCTTACAGACGTAGATATTCTAGTGCCCTCCAGCAGCATGTTGGTGTATAGGAACTTCAGGATGTGCATGGTGTGCTACTTTAAAAGGTATTATTTGTTCCTCCTTCAAGCCTTTCTTCCTTTCAGTGTGTAGTAGTTCTGAAATCGCGAGGATTTGGTGAATCAAATTGTGCATAATGTCCATTGATCCAATAGGCGTACTCTAGTTACAACTTATTCTAAGCAGCAGGATCTCATTCCTTATATTGTTTCTCGTGTCTTTGAGAGAAATGAAACCTCCTTTCCTCCTAATTTTGAGAAAGTTGTTCAGTTTGTGAAAGATGGGTTTCTGAGATGTAATGTCTTGGTATGGTCTGATGATGAGAAAGGCAGCATGACTGGATTGATATGCCATGCCAAGGCTACTTTTCACTAAGCACCCTTTTCACTGGCCAACAGTTAACTGAAAGTTCAAATTTTGCACTTTCCCTGCCTCCCACATGGTTTTTTTTCAGTTCTTAACTCAAATCTAAGTACTTAAGTCAAGTCAATATTTTCCTATGAGAGCGGTTCTTAAGTCAAAATGTTCTTAACTCAAGCCGTTCTTAAGTCAAGACCCCACTGTATTATTTGTTCCTCCCTCAAGCCTTTCTTCCTTTCAATGTGTAGTAGTTCTGAAATCGCGAGGATTGGTGAATCAAATTGTGCATAACGTCCATTGATCCAATAGGCGTACTCTAGTTACAACTTATTCTAAGCAGCAGGATCTCATTCCTTATATTGTTTCTCGTGTCTTTGAGAGAAATGAAACCTCCTTTCCTCCTAATTTTGAGAAAGTTGTTCAGTTTGTGAAAGATGGGTTTCTGAGATGTAATGTCTTGGTATGGTCTGATGATGAGAAAGGCAGCATGACTGGATTGATATGCCATGCCAAGGCTACTTTTCACTAAGCATGGGCATGAGCAGATTTATTTATTAGTTATATTTATTGATGATCTTTATATGTTCTTCCATTGGCAAATGAACTTGGGGTGGTTTACAAGATTCAGAGTGAAATACAATGCATAATTCAAATATAGCAAAAACAATAAAACACATCTTAAAAGTCTTAATTCTAGCAGGACAGAAAATGAAACCAGATAGCTACTCAAAACTTTACAGCATAGCTATAACAAACTTGTATGTGCCTTGACTTTCAAGTCTGTCTGCCTTCACATATAAAGCTGCACTGGTTGACCAAAACCAGTCTAATTCTAGAACATGATAGGCATATGATTTATCTGAGTGGTTGTGCACTGCAAATACCAAACTGAAAACCAAGATAATCAGTAGTGTGTTTGAGTTTGTGGAAAAAGCCCATATTTTCCTCTCTCTCTTTTTCTCTTTGGCAGAACCAGCTTCTTGCGAAGGGTTTGCTGTTCATAGAAGAGAAGGTTAAGCTGTCTGAAGGCAAGTGGACAGAGGGACTGTCCTGCGTTTTGCTCTTGCTTGAAGCCTCATGTGTCATCTCTTGAGGCTTGGATTGCAGAAGTGGATTTAGTGAAAAAACCAACACCTGAGCCATCTGGCTAAGTATCTCCAGGTTCTGTTATGTAGAAGCAACACAGCCAGTCTTGGCAACAGCAGAGCATATAAATTATTTAAATGGGGAAGAAAGTAAATTTCCTTGCCCAAAACAAACGTAACATGCTTTTATAGGAGCAGTTTATGTGTAACAAAAACGCAGAGTTTGAAAAGTCACACAGAGGAATATAAAATAGTGGAGTATAAGGGCATGGTGAAGGCATCCCTGACTGGGCTGTGGTTTGCAGATGGGCTGGGTCCCATTTGGTACAGACCCACTTGATAATATGTGGACTCATTTAGTAATCTGCTTATCCTGACCTTCATAAGCAGAGTCCTGTGAGTCCATGGTTTCCTTAGATTTCTGATCAGGAACTGGCAAACGTGGTAAAGTTTTTCCCACCTCAGGGCAGAACAATTAAAAGAACTCGTTAACCAGGTTTCCTGCACATCTTGGCAAATTACTGTTTAGCATAGGTCATAGAACTTTGTAATGAAAATGTATGTCTCACCAATGTGCATGTTTGGTGATGTGGATATGTGTATCCAGTCTTGTCATCAAATGAAGAATTGCACAAAAATTAATTAAGGGAGATTTTTAGTAATTGCACACACATTTGTGGAGGGCATGGTTTATCGCCCTAGATTTAGGACAGCTATGATTTTTTGTTGTTGTTTCTTGTAGTCAACTACAGGTTCTTCATTGGGAATTATTGTGAACATTGTTCACAACACAATCCACAACTTGTAATATGTGTGCTTTCAAAACTGGCAACAATAGTAGCAATTGACGAAACAGAAACCAAATCAGCCCAAGATATATTCATTGTGCGCTTATAGTATGTGCAGAAACTGATAAGGAATGGATAATGATTTGATTTGAGTTTTGGTTGTAATGAAAAGTATAGATTCATAGGCGCCTTTTGAAGGTTAAAACCAGAAAGATCTGGACAAGCCAAGGGATGTTGCTTTATATCAGACAGATATGTAAATAAGAACTATTATTAGCCCATAGAAAGACATTGTTTCTGTGTGCACAAACATATGAAGGGATGTGGGTGGGGGTCTACTAGGGAATCTCATAACAGTGGTTAAACTGCAGTACTGTTGTCAAGAATCTGCTCATGATCTGAGTTTGATTTCAATGGGCTAAGGTAGATCTCAAGGTTGTCTTGGCCTTCCATCCTTCCAAGGCTGGTAAATTGAGTACCCAGCTTGCTGGGCTGCAAGTTGTTGTTTGCATAATTGCACTGTAAACCTCTGAAAAAAATGCTTTAGCACTGTAGGGTGATGTATAAGTAAGAATAACAGGAACAGGGGAGAAGAAGAAAAAACAGTCTGCGCAAATCTATGAGAGCCTTAAATTGGGAGAAATTGTGAGTTAGGAAATCTGCCATGTCTTGTCACCAGAAAGCAATTTTGACCAGTTTATAGATGTTCAGGTGTATTTATAGGCCTGCTTTATCAACATACATGGCTTTGTATTATTGTTTGTTGTTACAAATCTGCAAAAGCATAACAAGGAAATAAGCTCCACCCTTCACATTTGAGGTATATACTCTAGTTCTTTTTAAATACATCTTAAAAAAAGTTAAAAGTGGACGTAACCTGCTCTGCTATTAGCTAGAACTACAGGTAGACTTGGTATGATGTAACAGCTCAAAGACTTAATAAACTCTTTATGATTAAAGTCAAATTCATAAAGTTAGTTCAAAATAGAATGTAGACTTCCTCCAAGAGAGGATGTCACAATCATATTTCATGTTGAAAACAGTAAAATTGTGTTGAAAATCAATGGGACATAGGTTGCTAAGGCAGCAGTTCTAATCATACTTGCCTGGCCACCAACTTAAGTATGCAGAATGGGATCTGCGTAGTAATAGTACATTATTCAGAACTACAGTAATCAGTCTGAGACGAGCAATGTAAACCACTTGATCTTTTGGAAAGCAAGTCCATCAGTGTTCTAGACAAGGGCACTGTCTGTATGGTAGTCTTGCCTCATAGAGGACACTCAGCAGCTGGAAACTGGTGGTTTCTGGTTGGAAATAAAAAGATCACTTTGGAAGCTTTGTAGCGGCAAGCTTCTGAATCACTCTATGTGGAAATTCAAATTGTGCCAGTTTGTGGCTGCTAAAACTTATTTTTTAGAAGGGGAAAGAAATGAGTGATTCTTCTGTTCCATAGTTACAGGAAAGATCACAAAGATGCCCTTTGGTTTCCTTCAACATGTAAACTGAAAAGTATTTGCAGACATCATGCTGTAAGGAACAGTGACGGCTACAGTTAATAGAAGAGCTCCTTGGTGCATTAGATCAGGGGTCTCCAAAGTATGGCCACATTGCCTTTTTATCCAGCCCATGCATGCATGAGGATGTGTGTGTCTGTGTGTGTGCGAATGGGTGAGCAGAAGTGCATGTGGGCGGGCGGGCACAGGCATGGATGGGAGTGCGGGCGGGCAGGCGCGAGTGTGCGCTTGTGCGTTCCTTTGATCCTCAAAATTGTGGAAAACATACAGTGGTGCCCCGCATAGCGACGATAATCCGTGCAGCAAAAATCACTGAATTTACTGAATTTCCTACTCTGTTACTTTTATGTACACCATAGTTTGCCAAAACATATAAAAATTCTAGCAACAATTATGTTAAGGGTCCACAAAGCTATAAAAATCCATTCCTATGTTGCAAGTTATCTAACTCTATATCTATATATTAATGCTAGCTGAAGCAGAAGCTCCTGGATAGTATTCAGTTCCACTTTCTGAAGCACAAGACAGTGGCAAAGTGACATCTTGCTCTTCCAATTCTGCTTGAAGACCTTGTTGCTTTATGTAATCCATCAACTGCCACATTGGCCTTGACATTACATAATGTACTGGTGGCTGCAGCTGCCACAGTGTAGGCACCCATGTTTCCAAACACCATCCAGTCCTCAGCCAGCAACTCTGGCATGCTGCAGCATTCAACTGTGATCTAGAGCATCACAGGTTGGGCTTTATATGCTACAGGAATGGTATATCATATCTTGTCTTTTGCAAAACGAGGTTGACATGTGCATGGGGCTTTATATGCTACAGGAATGGTATATCTTGTCTTTTGCAAAACTAGGTTGACATGTGCATGATCATACAGGATGCAGTTAAAAGTGTTATACAGTGGACCCTTGACTTACAGACGGCTTGACTTACAGACTTTTTGATTTACAGACTTCTCTGGCCACAAAATTTAGGTTTGACTTGCAGACTGAGATTTGACTTACAGACCAGAAAAAAACCAAAATGGAACAAAAACGGCCTGTTACGGGATTAATCGGTTTTCAATGCACTGTAGGTCAATGGAGACTTGACTTACAGACTTTTTGACTTGAGAACCGCCTTCCAATACGAATTAAGTTCTCAAGTCAAGACCCCACTGTATATACCATCATTTACATGAGAGTTTTGTACTCCTGTTCTTCTTCAACATCAGATCCACTATGCTCCTTTATTACAACTTTCTTTGCAATTATATTAACAACCAACATAAAAGCTGATGCAACATAATACCTGCCAGACTTTGCAATAATTCTCAGTCCTGATTGAGTGATACACAGATGTTCAGAGTACATTTCATTGTCCAGTCTCTGCAATTCCTGCTCATTCCAAGGAATATAATATGGTAAAATAATTCTGTGGAAGACTAGGTGTTTTAAAGTAGTATCTACACGTCATCTGCTCCGGAAAGTAGATAGAGATGCAAATGGAAGTACAAATTCCTCTGCAGACAAAATGAAACACAGCTAGATGACACTCTGATGCTTGTTACAATGTACATTTGGAGTCACACCCATAGTTCATGACCTAGAATGAATGTGTATGTGCATCTGTGTTCATGCCGAGGTATTATTAGGTGAATCAGAGTGCTGGGTCTATTCTTTCATGTGTTTCATCACCAGAGCTGAGATGAGAAATCTAGCTTCATCACTGTGTCTGAGAAGAAGAGGGTAAGGTCAGTGAGAGATACAGACTTGCCTAGTGGGTCACAGCATCTTCTATCAGCTCTGTCTGGAAGTCTACCTGTGACCTTATTTTGTTGAAAATAGCTGGGTTGCAATTGCCCATGCTCCAGAGGGTGGGTATAAAGTCTCACTATAGGAGCATGCACAGGGCTTGAAAAATTTTAGAATGTCTCACCAGCCAGTCAAAAATTTTACCAATCAGCATGATTGGAGTATAGCCTTGCAATTTATGTTTAAACTCTAAATTTAAACTAGGCACTTTCTACATAACAATGCACACAAACCCAAAATAAATATACTCTCAGACTTGGGTTGCTTTATTACCTGTGTGCCTGTACAGTCATGAAGTTTGTATTTTGAATGCCTTTCATTTGAATGTCTCCATTCAAAAGAAAGGCAAAAATAAAACTGAAAGAAAAGTGCCCGGACTCTTAAGCAGCCAGGTCGTTCAGTTGAAATTGGGAACAGGGAATCTCCATATTCTCCAGCATGGGACTACTCTACATTCTCCTGCAGAGCTATATATCTATGTGCCACTCAAACTCTCTTGTGAGAAGAGGGCTGTTTTTCCTTTTCCAATGGGACGGGGGAGGGGAGGACTGCAAGATGAGAGAGAGAGAGAGAGATGGGCTGAGGGTAAGGAGGCAAGGAGGGAGGGATGGAGGGAGCTGTGGCTTGTCAAGCAGTGTTTTTTCACTCTTCATGGACAAGTGGATTTTTCCTGGGCATGTTGTATGCAAGGGCTGCTTTTAAAATAGTGTTGAAACTAAGATTGGTCCAGAATAGAACTGCCAGAATATTAAGTAGGATGGGGCTGTTTGATCTCATTATGATTGTGCTTTGTCAGCTACAATGGCACCATGTATTTGCATTTCTGTCTACTTCCTGGGCTCAGTGCAATGTGCTGGTTCTAACCTTTTAAAACACAGCCTTAATTGGCTTGGCAAATAACTGGTTTCTCCCATATGAACTAACTTGTGTTTTAAAATCTTCAGAGACCTGTTCTGAATACCAGTGAAGCACCTAATAAAACGAGGCAGGTGATAATTGGGAGGGGAGCTATTTATAGTGGCAGTCCAGTTATGGAATAGCTTCCTAGAAAAGTTTCCCCAGTGTCATCTTTACAATAGCTTTGTCTTCAGCCAGACCTTTTAAATGTCATATTTCTATTTGACAATCTTTGATTGTTTTTATTCCATGGTTTCTGTGAGTTCTATATTTTATGTTTTATAATTGCTCACGTTAAACATTATGGTTTCCTTTTCTATTTAAATTGTTCTCCGTATTTGTTGTAAGTTTCCCAAATAACTGAGCATAACTACGAAGATCATTTATTTGTTTATTTACCAACAACATTTGTTGGATAAAAGCTTATCCTCCAAGGTTATATCTACAGTGGTGCCTCGCATTACGATGTTAATTCGTTCCAGCGAAATCGCTGTAGAACGAAAACATTGTAAAGTGATTTTTAAAGCCCATAGAAATGCATTATAACCCGATTAATGCATTCCTATGGGCTTGAAACTCACCATCCAGCAAAGATCCTCCATAGCGCAGCCATTTTCGCTGACCGTGCAGCGAGGAATCCATCCCAGAAAACAGCGGGTGGCCATTTTTTTACCCAGCAGCCATTTTGAAACCACCAATCAGCTGTGCGAAAATTGTTGTTTTGCGATGATCGGTTAGTGAAGCAGGGAACCAATCATCACAAAGCGAAAAAACCCCATTGGAAACATCTTTTTGCGATCACTTTTGCGATCGCAAAAACTTCATCGTTATGCAATTTCGTCATAAACGAAGCGCTTGTCTTGCGAGGCACCACTGTATATGTTTTATGACTGGTGGTCTGACTTGTAGCCAGAACCAACCTACTGTACAGTATATCAACTCCTTATAGGACTTTCAGGATAAGCAATATACTCAAGGTTTTTGCAGGTGCACTCACACTGTGAATTTTCATAGTCAGATAGGGATTTGAACCCAGGTCTCTGAGTCCTAGTCTATAACTGTATTCACTACACCACACTGGATCTCTTATATACATATAGCATTTTACAATTATTATTGATCCTTAGATCCAGATGGACCCCTGAACTGCGAACCTCCCTTTTCACGGTGAGAGTTGCCCCCCCCCAGAGAGAATTTCCCAAACCACCAATGGAGGGGCCACCCACCCTCAGGACCTCTGTATTTTCTAGGTTTAGCCTCAACCCACTCTCCTGCATCCATCGCAGTACAGCCTCCAGACAGCGCTGAAGGGACAGAATGGCATCCACTGAGGTAGGTGAAAAGGAGATGTAGAGCTGAGTGTCATGAGTGTACTGATGGCATAAAGCCCCACACCCCCTGATGGCCCCACCCAGCGGCCTCATATAGCTATTAAACAGCATTGGGAAGATAATCAAGCCCTGCGGAACCCCACAGTTGAGACTCCACGAGCCCAAAACACTCTCCTCAACTGTACTCTCTGAGGGTGGTCCTCCAAGAAGGATCGGACTCAGGCAAGTGCCAGGCCACCAATTCCCAACTTGGAGAGCCTTCCCAGGAGGATACAGTGGTCGCCGATATCAGAGGCAACTGAGATATCGAGAAGGACCAACAAGGACATTTTGCCCCATCAGCATCCCTCAACAGGTCATCCAACAGTGCGACAAATGCAGTTTCTGTGCCATGGCGTGGCCTGAAGCCCGACTGGAACGGATCCAGGGCATTTGTTTCATCCAAAAGAGCCTGAAGCTTGTCAGCCACCACCCTCTCCACCACTTTACTAAGGAAGGAAACATTGGCGACGGGCCTATAATTGCCAATGTCGTCCGACGCCAATTTGGTTTCTTCTTTGATACTGTCAACCATATATCCTTCTGGGGGCTGCTCTCAGAGTTGGGGATCCTCAATTGTGGGGTTCGAAAGGGGTCGATCATCTTGCCAATGCTATTTAATATCTATATGAGGCCTTTGGATGAGATCATCTGGAGTGGTGGGACCTGGTGCCATCAGTACACTGATGACACCCAGCTCTAATTCGCCTTTTTTTCCCAACTGCAGTAGATGCTGTTCTGATCCTTGAACTCTGCTTGGAGACCATCCTGGGGTGGATGAGGGCAAATAGACTGAGGTTGAATCCGGAAAAGATGGAAATCTTGCTTGTGGGCGGCCTGGCGTCATGGGCTGGGAAACTCCTTCTCCTTTGGGGGAGGGACTCTTCCTACAAAGAATGAGGTTTACAGCTTGGGCATCTGCCTGGACCCAGATCTCACCATGGACATCTGTGGTACGGGTAGCCCATTTCCATCTTCGGAGGATTGCCCAGCTACATCCCTAGCTAGACATGGAGGCACTCACGATGCTGATTCATGCCCTTGTAATCTCAAGAATAGACTACTGCAGTGCTCTCTACTTGGGGCTACCCTTGAGGCTGATGCAGAAACTTCAACTGGTCCAAAATTTGGCAGCCAGATTACTAACTGGGGTGAAGAAATTCCAGCGCATGTCCCCCACTCTGACCACCCTTCATTGGTTACCGATTCATTTCTGCATCAACTTAAAAGTTATGATAACATTCAAAGCCCTAAATGGTTTAGGACCTTGGTATCTATCAAAACGCCTGTTCCCAGCCAGATCTGTCCATAATACCCATTCTTCATAGGCAGGGTGGTTGAGGGCCTTGACCCCGAAGGAGACCTGAAGGGAAAGAACAAGAAACCAGGCCTTCTTGGCAGTTGCCCCCGACCTGTGGAAGAACCTGCCTATTGAGATCCTTCTGGCACCCTTGCTGGACAGGTTCAAATGAATATTGTAGGCTTAGTTCTTGTGCCAGGCTTTCCCTGATCATTAAGTTACTGAGATCTTGGCCTCCCTTTTACTATCCTTTTTGCCATCCTCTTCATCATCTTTTTACTACCTTCACTGGCATCTGTTTTAATTTATCTTGCTCGTTATTATATTTGTTTGAAAGTATGTATTATTTTGTTTTTTATCATGTCTTGTTATTGTGCTGTTTATTTTGTTCTTAGCTGGCCAGAGTGGCCTGTTGCTATACGGGGCACCACTGTATCTTGCTCGTTATTATATTTGATTGAAAGTATGTATTATTTTGTTTTTTTATCATGTCTTGTTATGGTGCTGTTTATTTTGTTCTTAGCTGGCCAGAGTGGCCTGGTTGCCAGATGGTGTGGGGTAGAAATTCAATAAAGCCAATAAATAATACGTCTCCCTAGTATTTATGCAAAATTAGATAGTATTTGGATTGCTTAAGTAATGAGGTATGGCTACTTGAGCACAGTGACTTAATTCTCTCTCCTCCTGCTCCCAATTTCCCTTAGGAGAAAATCGCATCCATGTGTTGTCTGAAATCTGGGATCACTTCTTCACAGAGACTCTTCCCACACTCCAGGCTATATTTTATCCTGTTCAGGTAAGTCAATTTAAAATGCAAGCCTGTTAGGGTAGCTCATGGCACAGTGATTAAACTGCATTCCTGTACTCAAGACTGCTCGTGACCTGAGTTTGATCCCAGTGGCCTCAGGTAGCCAGCTTGAAGTTGACTCAGCCTTCCATCCTTCTGAGGTTGGTAAAAATGAGTGCCCTGCTTGCTGGGGGTAGTGGTGGAAGCAACATGTAGCCTGCATAATTAAATTGTAAACTTCTCAGAGAGTGCTCTAAGCATTATTGAGCAGCATATAAGCAGCATACTTTGCTTTTTTTGCTTTGCTTTAGGGAAGAGAATACAGAAACAGCTTAACGTTTCTCAGCTTCCTCTGAAGTTGTTGTAACACCCAGTTCTTAATCCAGAAAAGATAAACATTTAAACTTGAAAACATTGCATTGATGCCCCTCTTCACTGAGGATCTTCAAGAGACTTTTGAAGACATGGCTATTTAGACAGGCATTTCAATATCAACAGAGTGCAAAGGTTCCTTCAGCTCTTAAGTTATCAATTCCATCATCTTGCTTTTATTAATTGTTTTATGTTGTCCTTTTTAGTTTGGTTTATATGTTTATTTGATTTTCTACATTATTATAATATATATGTGGTTATTATTAAATGTGTCATTGCCTCCTTTTTTTCTGTGAACCACCTGGAGTGGCCTAGGTAACCAGATGTGCGATATACAAATTGAATGAATAAACAAACAAACAAAGACAGGCAGTAGAAATTTTGAATAGGCAGAGGAGAGCAGCAGAATTTTTTAGAGATTTCCATCTGTTTACTGTGCTGTTGGCAATATCCTGGGAAGGCTTTAATTCATTTGGATCCATGCAATTAAAAACTCAGAATGTACACCTAAAAGCTCACCTGTTTTTAATTCTTTTATCAAATTCATGAGATATTACTCTTCCTATCACTGTCATTCTTGTAAAAACACTGAAAATTGTGCAGTTTTTATAGTTGTAGTATAGCTTATAGTTCTGCAGCTGGAATAAATTTTTACTGGAAGTGAGACATGAGAAGGAAGGGAGTGCCTGTTTCCATAGTGGATTCTTATTTTGAACTGTGGTTTCTTAGAGAGCTAGTATTATTTATCCATCAATTTCTTGCTTGAGTGTCTGTGACAACTGGAGCAGGCATATTTTGGAGCAGTTAAATATTATCTTCCTGATTTTAGGACTGTATTCTACTCCAGATACTGAGGAATTAAGCAAACAAATTGTATTTTGGTTTCTTAATCTGATAGCTTCAGTTCAGGCCCAACAATCCTGAGTTATTTGCTGGACATGGCTGCCAGTCATAACTATTGAGCAACTTTTACATGAGTGTTTTTAGAAAAAAACACACACCACCCTATAAATACTTGGGAAAAAAGAAAGCACACAATTTCTGATAACATTTCTCTGTTTATTATCCCAGTATTATGCTTGATATTCTTGGAACTGAAAGATTTTTTTTCTCTTAAAGAGATGAACAATCTAAATACAAGATACCATATTTTTTTGTGTATAAAATGACACTTTTTCCTTAAATAATTTGAGAAAAAAATGAGGGTCGTTTTCTACACGGAAGGCAACTCTTTGCCTTTTGCGAAGGCATGGGGCTTTAGCAAAAAGGAAGGGGAGGTGTTGCTGCCTTCCTTTTTATTAGCTCAGTGTCTTCTCAGAAGGCAAGGGGCGTGTGGCTTTAGCAAAAAGTAAGGGTAGGCATTGCTCCCTTTTTGCTAAGTTCCATGCCTTTCCAAAAGGCAAGGAAAAGTGGCAGTCACTTTGACAGCTGCTTCCCTTGCCTTTTGCCAAGGCACGGGGCTTAGCAAAAAGGGAGCCCTTTGATCCCTGCTTTTTCTAATTTGAAAAAGGGTGGGGTCGTCTTATAAACGAAAAAAATACAGTAGCTAATGTGAAAACCAAGGAGGTACTCATTATCCAGGCAGGAAGGGTTACTGGCAGTACAATTTTCCTGCAGAATGAAATTCTTTAGAAGGTTACATACTTTCTTTTTGCTTTTGTATCTGCCTTTGGCAATTTAGTACAGGTTGACCTAAATTGTTCTGTCCAATTCCAAAATATCAATAGGTAATCTTCACCATACCTAACATACCATTTTTCAAGCAGGCATTTTGCAGAAGGCCAGGAAAATTTATGTATTAATCAATTTTTAATAGATTGTTTTGTAGAGGTTTTTTTTTGTTGTTTTTTTTTTTTTTTTTTTTTTTTTTTTTTTTTTTGCAAAATGGTGCTCAAGATGGTTAAGAAATAACACTCAAGCAACATTCCCTCTAATTTTCCACTAGCATGTGGTGAGGTCCCTGCCCCATGTGCCCAGGGTTCTGGCTATGACCAGAAGCAAACCAACAGCAACTCTGACTTGGCTGCGCGGCCCCAATCCAGCACTGTGCGGTCATGCAGCTTAGAGAAAATGTTGCATTCAAGGCAGCTAAGATAGTAATTTAAAAAATCAAAACAACAATAAAATATTTTTTATTTTTTTTAAAAAAATCAAATGAATAATAAATATAATATTTTAAAAAGAGTACATTTAAAAGGTAAAAGGACCAGAGTTTAGAAGTAGAGTGTTAAGAAAGCAACAGGTTGGTTATTGAAAAGAAAATAAATCTTCATGTTTCCTTGCTTTTTAACATTTTTGGCATTATAAATAATATCAAGATTGGTATTTTACTTCAAAGTCAATGAAATGATGTAAAGTTGTGGTGCCAAGTTGCAGCTGATTAACACTGCCTGATCATTTAGCTGCTCATGGGTCTGGTCACATGACTGGTGTGTGACTGGGCAAATGACCAGCACTTTGTGAATTAGCTGCATTTGACCGCCTCGACTTGAGCAATTTTACTCATTGCAGAGTAAAAGCCCAGTAGGATTCTGGCCAGTGAGATTTGACTGGTTATTCTTCTGTCCTTATTTCTTATTTGAGGTCAGGCAGTAAGGAGGCATTTAATGCCTAAGAAGGCATTGCAGTACTCTTGTTTGCTGCCTTGGAAGATTTTTCACTGTACTGTACACTGGTTTCACTGGTCCAGACCAGCCAGGTTTTGCATGGAGTAGAAGCAGGAATGTACCAATTGTCTATGGTTTATTTAAAACATAATAGTTAATACAATAATTAATTTAACAAATTAAGGGTTTTCACTAGTAAGGCTTGTGCTGATTTTTTTTTTAAAAAAAACTTGTAATTGATTAATGAAATAAATTAATTTTTTAAACTAACATACTAAATTCTGGGACATCTTTGCTTCTTTACTAACGTCCCATAATGTATAATACTTTCTGATTCCATCTGTTTCTTTCTCTTCCCTTGTCCTATATGCCTACTCCTTTTTCCTGTGCATGCAGCAGATGATTGAAGGTATGTGTGGGAATACAGTCAAATGAAGGCCAACTATTTCAAAGAATGTTGGCCTTGGTCATGAAGCGACTTTGCATCCTAACTGCATTATGCAGAAATATCGTGATTTGGTTCAAGTAGAATTTGTTTCTATATAGTGTATTAGGGCTTAGAGTGCAAATCTAGTATAAACTGAATTGAATCATATTGTGAAGATGAGGTACACAGTTCCACTTTAACTCTCATGGCTCCATCCTGTCCTGCAATTTATTCTTTGGTCAGGTACTTAAATTCTCTGACAAAAATTCCAGTCCTTTTTCTTGAACTAAAACAAAGCATTATAAGCACCTTACCAGACTTCAGCATTTCATAGGCTGGAGCCATGAAAGTTACAGTGGGATCAAACTGCTCTAAGTACTATTTAGGACAGATACACTCTAAGGAAGTTTCTAGAACAGTAGTTCCTAACCTTGGGTCCTCAGACATTCTTGGACTACAACTCCCAGAAGCTTTCACCACTAGTTTTACAATTTTACATGACGTTATGTGTGTCCCTGGAAAAGCCCCTGATGTTGGGAAAGTGTGAAGGCAAGAGGAGAAGGGAACGACAGAGGACAAAATGGTTGGACAGTGTCATCGAAGCTACCAACATGAATTTGGCCAAAATCCGGGAGGCAGTGGAAGACAGGAGGGCCTGGCGTACTGTGGTCCATGGGGTCACGAAGAGTCAGATATGACTTAACAACTAAACAGCAACAACATGTGTGCCTACCATTTATAATCCTTCCATGTTTTCCCTCCTTTTAAAAAAAGAGAGACATGTTATCATTTCTCTACTCATTATTCTTTTTCAAGCTACATATATCAAACTTCTTCAGCCTTCCTCAAAGGACTTGTTTCCCATCATCATTGTTGCCTTCTTCTGAACCTGTTTGAATTTTTCTACATTCCTCTTCTACTGGGCCACCCAAAATTAGATCCAGCACATCAGATGAGGGCTGAGTAATTCAGAATTGAACATAATAGATAGAAAACCTTATCATTGATTTGTTGCTAGGTGTTAATCTTGCAAGATGAAGCAATTGAGCTAAATTGACCAATACATTCACAAAGTTGATGTCATGCTCCTACAGGAGTAATATTCTGTATGTCCTGTAATTCTGTCTTAGCTTATTGTGTGCCTGTGTAAATATTTTTCCCAGTCTTAAAATGGGAAAAGCATCTTTGCAGCAGCAAGACCAGCCATTATCTTTGTTCTAATTTTGCATTTTGATGAATCTCTTAGTTGGATCATTAACTCCAGGATAAATTGATGATTAACAAACATTGATTTTTTCCAGTTAGAAGTCTGCTTCATTGGTTGTGGATTGGTTAGTTGTGCTAGGGCTCCTTCTGGGAATTAAAGGCATACTTTAACTTGGTTGTGAAAAACGGGAGTTGTAAACTCCGCACTGGAACAAAGCATCAGAGGGGAGTAGGAGGGAATTTTGAATTGCTTAATTTTGGTATGAGGTTGTTAAATGTGGTAACAGATTACCTAGCATATTTGTCCACAAGGCCTGGTAATATAATATTGTTTATTTTTCAATAATGATTAAATTTTACTAAAAGAATAAAAAATACTCGTAAGAGCTGGTTCCTTAAATCTGAATAAGGAGTATAAAGGGTGAGATAACAAATGAAGAGATGGATTGAGTTTCCATGTAAGTTTTGAAGCTTTTTTCAGCTTTTCTTTTGCAGAGACTTTGGGAAGGATACCAGGTAGAGCAATAAAAAAGGAAAAATAGCTGTGTGGCTCTTCTACACAGTCTGAAAATAAGGAGAGGTGATACCTTTATTGCTGCTGTTGTTATCTGCTGTCAAGTTGCTTCTGACGTATGGTGACTCTATGAACGGGCAATCTCTAAAATGTTCTGTCCCCAATTGCCCTACTCAGCTCTTGTGAACTCAAAATTGTGGCTTCCTTTAGCAAGTATGTCCATCTCATATTTGGTCTTCCTCTTTTCCTCCTATCCTCTGTCTTCTCTAGCTTTGTCTTTTCCAGAGAATTCAGAGATACTTCTATGACACCACTAAAAATAAGCTAGCTCTCAACCCCCGTAGAGCTCTGAGTGGTGCAGAAAAAGCCAAACACTTCCAAAAATTGTGGTCAGGTGTGTGCATCAGGCTCCTTTCTTAAAAGCAACTTTCAGGGCATTATTTGCCTCTCTACGTAGGAAGTGTTCTTGCTGCCATATTCCTGTAAATATCTCTCTGCTTGTGGTCATATTTACAATTCCCCCAAAAGGTATTAGGTAGTTATTTTTCTTTTGATTTATAACTTATTTGGTGCTACCTTGTGTTCCTAGTACTACCCTAGTTCTTTTGAATTAAACTATGTTGTTTCTTAACAATAGCCCTGATAACATATAGAGACCCCTGCGTTTACTTACAGCAGCCCAAAGGCTGCGGAACTCTGCAAATAGAGATGCATGTACCTCAAGGCTGGTGGATAATGTTTCTCCCCTACTGTGTTTTCTATCTGTTCACTCAGGGCCAAGAACTGACTATTCGCCAGATTGCTTTGCTCGGCTTCAGAGACTTGGTCTTATTAAGAGTCAAGTTGAATGAAATTCTTCCTCAGATCCAAACCAACCTCCCACCTTCTATTGTCCAGATGCTCCTGATTTTACAGGTAGGGTGTGATCCATTTCTCTTTCTCCTAAGTGCCTTGCTTAGAGGATGATATGAATAGGTAGAAAACCCAGGAGGTGTTTTTTTTTAAATGCTCCTGGTTTCTGTGCAGATCAGAAAAATATATTTAAATAATTGTTATGAAAATTATATAGCCTAAGGTTGTTACAGTGCTATGTTCTGTCAATTTGAAATTGACTTGCAACAACCTAATAGGGCTGTTAAGGTAAATGAGAGATTTAATGAGTGGTTTTACCAGTTCCAGTCCCCCAGTGAGTTTCCATAGTTGAACTATGTTGGGGATAACAACTGGGTGGGGGAACTGACATAGCCTAATTTAGGCATATTCCAAGGCAGGCTGGTTGTAAAACTGAATATCACATGGGTTTTGCTGCAGATCGTACACAGTAAATAAGTGTAAACTAGACTCCCTTTTTTTCATTACTTCTACCACCACCTTTTTTAAAAAAAAAAAATACAAACTTTTATTTATTTGGAAGCTAGCGCAAAGGGAATGTTGCTGTTCATAGGTACACTTGTGGACCTGTTGAAATATGTGTGTGTTGTAATGAAGGTTCTGTCTTTTATTGTTATAGGGGGTTCATGAACCTACAGGTCCCAGTAAGGCCTTCATGCAATTGGAAGAGCTTGTTAAACTGGTCGTCTCTCCATACCTTGGGCTTTGTGAAGAACACTGTTTTCCTGGCAGTACGTGTGCCTTGGGTAAGATGCATCATATTAAAAAGTGTTGGAAGTCCTGTTGTTCACATGGCTTCTGTTCAGTATATCATGGCAGTCTGGTATCTTGGCAGAGAATGGACATAGGAGATGTAGGCAAACAAGAATTTCCGTGTTTTGAAGCCTGTAGCCATCTCCACACACATATTGATTAGTGCAGCCTTAAAAGAGAGGTTGTTCATGTCAAGGAAATTTCCTATATGATAACATGTTTGCAACATTGCACTGTGCTCTCAATCTCAATGCTTGTGCCATTTTAGCATATCATGTGTACACTGAATTGAAAGAGCCTCTGTTTCAAATGAGGTGCCAGCTGTGTGGAAACCACATGGCTACATTTCTTTATACTTCTGCAACTCAATTCTCTGCATGTTTTCTTGAAAACGTGTTCCAGTGTATCCAGTAAGGCTTGCTACCTGGTGTGTCAAAGGTTGATGTTTTAAAAACGTTTTTGCTTGCTGTGTCCCCCAAACTGCTCAGTTTATTATAGGCTCAATGTATCCTCATCGTCGTTTAGTCGTTCAGTCGTGTCTGACTCTTCGTGACCCCATGGACCAGAGCACACCAGGTCCTCCTGTCTTCCACTGCCTCCCGGAGTTGTGTCAAATTCATGTTGGTTGCTTTGATGACACTGTCCAACCATCTCATCCTCTGTCATCCCTTCTCCTCTTGCTTTCATACTTTGCTAACATCAGGGTCTTTTCCACAAAGTATCCTACTTTGTGTAAATATTTTATTTTTTGTACAAACTCCCAGAGTCCCTGGACATCATAGACAGCCACTGTTAACACTAGATGGTGGATTCTGGGATTTGAAGTACAAAGTGATGTTTCCAAACATCATGGGTATGATTCTGAGTGATGTATAGCTGGTAGTCCAACTTATTGGTTTTTGGGAGTTGCACGCTAAGAAAATGATTCTTCTAGGCTCTGGTATTATGGGCATAATTCCTAGCAATACTGTTTATTGCTGCTAGTCTTAATTAGGATTAGGACTGCAACCTTCTTTGACCTTTCAGTTTTTATCCATTTTTAAGGTTTCTCTTCTTCCATTTCTGGGTTGTGCCTTAGCTTTAGTGAGAATTTTTGTCTGGATGATGCGATGCAGTCCTGTCCTAAAACACTTTACTAGAAAATATATCACATAGAGGGATTCGCATCTGAATAAACACAGTTTGAGTTCAGGCCTGAATTCATCAATGTTACCTTCCCCCACCACCACCACCACCTTAAAAAAACTGTGCTGTGAACTAGAGTCTTCAGAGATGTGGAGCGCTCTTGCATACATGTTTGTGTATCTTTAAGCAAACCACATTTCTGTGGATTTGCCACTTAACACATTAAAAAAAACCCAAAATGATGGTAACACTGTATTCGGTTGCTTTGCAAGGTCTAAGCAACTCTGAGTGCATGCCATCTGTAAATTTGATGTACCTCTCACTGTACAAACACAATCACTGCAGTGCTGCTTGTTCACAGCTAATAAAACTGTGACCCTTCTCTCACAGAAGCAAAATAATACATAGTGTACAGGGACTAGCAATATGCAGAGACTATTTGTTTTGACCCATGTGACTCTTGTGAAAGTTCTCGTCTGCTAATAAAATGAGGGATTGGTGTCATAAAACAGTTCCATGTACTCTGTGGCCTTGAAAGAAGTATGGATACAAAATAATCATATTTTATTTCCATTTAGAGGACACATACACCCTTGTGGTATGGCAGTTCAAACATGTTGTGTGGGCGTACTGCGGCTTAGTGGAAGAGCATCTCCTTTGCATGCAGAAATCCCTGCTAGTATCTCCAGGTTGGACTAGGAATGAAACCTTGGGGACCCTGAGTGAACGGACGGTCTGACTCTAAATAAGGCTACATGTAGTGTAGACGCTGTACTCTTGTTGCCGTGCCACAGAAAAGGAGCTGTGCATTTTGGACTGAGAGCTTGACGGTATACTGAAATGGCATTCTGGACAGATGGTGCATACGTGCATAAATCTAGTGGCCTTTTATTAGACCAAGGCTGCAATCCAATGTACTGTTCTGGGAACAAGTGCCATTGAACATAGAACCTGAGTCTCAGTAAATCTGCTGGGCTTCTGCAGTAAATAAGGGTATAAATCCATCTTTCATGTCTGCCTACCTCATATATATTTTTTCCCAAAACACTCTTTGAAAATAGTAATTATGAGTGCTTGGAAGAAGGGGAAAAACATCAGTTTTGTAGCAAAGTAGTTCTATTGTTTTTGAGATTGGTTTTACTTTCTCCTTTTTACATTCAAGAAAGGACAATAGGAACTCCTCTCTCCAGACATTATGCCATTAGCAGGGCACCTTTGCCTGTGCTGAGGTGAGATAGGCCAAGGACAACAACAGTGGCTAAAGGTGGTTTTTGTTGTTGTCTTTAAAGAAATGCAGCAGGATTGTGTGGGGCTGGAGTGGTGTTTCAGCCAGGACTGACTAAGGATTGCTGGTACCCATTTCCCTCTGATTACAAACAGTGTGTGGCATCTTGCAAGTCATAACTACTAGATATTTATTGGGATATAATGTAGTAATTATTGTAATGACCTATTGTGCTCTGGACAGATTACATAAAGTTGTAGAATTTCTACAGAGTAATAGACAATGAGATGGGGGCTCTTTGTATAGCTCCATTTTCATTTTTCGCTTTGTCTTCATGTATGTCTTTGAGCACTTTATCATTGTAGCGCAAGGCAACTAGCTGTCTGCACACCACATCTTTTCCACTCACGTATTTTTGTTGCAAACCAGAGAGGCACAAAACCTAAACCTCTGTGGTTCATTTAGGCTTCTGACCACTTAGGACCTAATTAGACACTGGCTGGTTGCTACCAAACCACATCTTCCTGCCCTTGGTCTACATCTCCCTAGTTACAACTCTGCAATAATTTCATTGTGACTTCATTGTGTTCAGCAGTTCCTCAGGCTCTCCACCAGCACAAATGGACTGTGTGGTAACACTGAAAGAAATGATATCATGCCAGACAGTCCTCCTTGATGTTACAAGGGGGACTTTCTGGTTTATAAATCTTTTGACACACCGAGTTTCATGCAGCTTTGCTATTCCTTTGTCTTCATTATCCCCATACTGAGATTAAGCAATATCTCCACCCAGTGGCAGCTGGAAGAAACAGATCCAGTAGATTTTAATATTTTTTGTGCCATTAAGTCAATTCTGAGTTGTGGTTACCCTTTTCAGAGTTTTTTTAGGTAGAAAGTACTCGGAAGTGGCTTACCATTCCCTTATTTTGAGAGAATGCTTGGACTGTGCAGCTTGCCCAAAGCCATATAGGCTGACTCTTCAGGAATGCATTTAGAAATTGAACTCGCAACGTTGTGCAGTTTGCCCAAAGCCACACAGGCTGACTCTTCAGGAACGCACATTTAGAAATTGAACTTGCAACCACTGGCTCTGCTGCAAGATACCTGACTCACTGAGCTATCCAATTTATATGGAGTGAGAAATGCCTGATGTCTAACTTGAAGTTGGAAAAGACTGCAAGATACCTGACTCACTGAGCTATCCAATTTATATGGAGTGAGAAATGACTGATGTCTAACTTGAAGTTGGAAAAGGAAGAGGCACTCAAGATTATATTGCAAATATCATCTGGCTATTGGAGTACACACAAAAAAATTCAGAAGATCAGTCTGTGTTGTATAAACTAGTCAGTAATGCTGGGAAAGGTTAAAGGCAGCAGAAAAAGAGGAAGAACAAATATGACATGGATTGACACTATCAAGGAAGCCACAAGTTTGAGTTTATAAGAGCTGAACAGGGCTATTGAGGATAGAATGTTTTTGAGATCTCTCATACATAGGATAACCATAAATCAGAAGTGATTTTATAGCACATAACAACAAAAGTGAATATAAATATCAAATAATAAACTGATGAATTTTGAATGAATATGTCAGATATTTATGTCCATGTGTAAATATTCTTCAATTCCTGATTATCATGAGGTCCCTAAAGGCATCAAGCATCACATGGGAGGAACAAGGTTCATTTATAGGAGATTAGGGGTTTGTGAAAGTAAGCTTTTGTGTGACATTCCGTTGGGTTCTCTCGACTCTGGTTGCTGCATCCATTCTTGTTTGGTATCTGTAAGCAGAATTTTATTATGGACAAAAACCAACACAAAACTTTACAGTGTCTGGAATTGTTTGTTAGTGTAACTTGGTGTAAATCTCAGTGGCAAGTTGCCAGTAAGTCAAGCCTGTGTGGGCATTTGCTGTTCCACACAGAGATGCATAGCATGACTATGCTGACTTCCTAATTTGCAACATATCTGAGATTTACACCAATTGAGCTACGATGATAGGTGCAATTAATAGGATTCTGGCCATTATACTACAATAGCAGCATAATCAGCACATAGGTAAAGGGAAAGGTTCCCCTTGACATTTAGTCCAGTCGTGTCTGACTCTAGGGCACAGTGTTCATCCCCATTTCCAAGCCATAGAGCCAGCATTTGTCCGAAGACAGTTTCCATGGTCACATGGCCAGCATGACTAGACACAGAACACCATTACCTTCCCACCGAGGTGGCCTATTTATCTACTTGCATTTTTACATGCTTTCGAACTGCTAGGTTGTCAGGAGAATCAGCACATAGATTCCATTATATTTAATGGATTGCAGAGAACTGCTTCAAGCACTGGCAGTTTGGCTGCTAAGTGCTTAATCTAGGAATCATGATCAGAAAGGAGAGAAAAGTAAAAATTTGACTGATCTGCCTAGATTTTTTTCCCAACAGTGCATGTAATAACAACTCACTGGATATCACATTAAAAGAAGCAGTATAGTAAAACATGTCCAACAGTTCCTAGTTCCTTTTTTTTTAACAAGGACACATACATTTTTTGATATGGAACCCCAGGATAATGCATCTCCCCCAAAAAGAAAACAAAAACAAGAAACCCTTGCTGAAAGTAGGACATCAGACCAAAAGTAAATACCTT